TTCTGGGGTGAGGTGGAATCTCAGTGTTGTTTTCATCTGCATCTCTCGAATGACCAGTGATGTTGAACATTTTTTCATATGTTTATTTGCTGCTCAAAATGTACTTTTGACACACATTGTTTGTTAGCTAGCTTGCATTTTTGTTAGTTATGTGATGAATGTGTAATACTTATGTTACCAATCTAATATTTAAAATATATCCAATATTATAATATTCCAAAAGGATCCCAGCAGTTTAGTAGTACTGATTAGTGGAAATTAAATAATATCAAAACTTTCCACTTGCTCAAGCGGGAGAATAGCCATCCCTATTGTGCTTCCCAGTAAGTTTTGTATGTTGAGAGTTCACACTCTCAGACCCTCTCTATCCATGATCTTATTGTGGGTAACCAAGATCCTATGTGCTCAAAAGAGAATGCAATTCTTCAAACTCTCATTTTTCTCCTTCTTCCAGGTCCTTCAGAGTCTTATTATTGTACTTCCTTTTCAAGCCTCCTTTGTAATACTGCCACATGATCTCCCCTTTTACCTTTCCTGCTATTATTATTTCTCACTGTATCAAGATCTTCAGATTTATTATGGACTACAGATAAGCACCCCTTCTATTTATTATTTGAACTTAAAGACTATTTTAGTTTTCTGATGTTGGGTCATCATACACATATTCTCTGTCATTACTTGTTTGATAGCTTAATGTGTCTTAAACATCTTTGCCAGCTTTTAGGAGCTCAAACTAAAATTCATATGACAAATCAAGTTCATTAACCAAAAGCTGCTTGCCAGTGTGCTGTGACTGTATAAATGACTATTGACCTGAGATTAGCAAGGAAGGAAGGAAAAAAAAAAGATTGAGTTCTTAAAGTATGGAACCAGGTAGGAAGAAAATATAGGAAGTAGATTCCGAGAGTGTTTCTGTCACCAACTGATTATTGCCAAAATTCTTGCCATGTTTCCCATTTAGATTTTTCCAGGGAGATAAACTAACCAGCAACACCAGTCACAGATATGTGAAGAAGACTATTCAATTTTCCCCTGAGAAACAATTCACTAATCAGAAATGTCCTCAATGATGATGAGGTACTCTAATGGAAAGGATGTAGTTTGGGGAATAAAACTGACCTGGAATCAAATTCTGACTGTGTTCATCATTGTTTGTGTAAGTTGGAATAAATTATTTAATCTGACTGAGTTTAATTTTTCTCATCACTTAGGAAATTAGCATCTGCAGGATTCTGAGCATATAATAGATGTTCAATAAGTCTATTATGTTGGCATTCTATATGATGGAAATTTAAAAAATGTTATAAGGTGAATAGTTCCTGACTATTTGCTACTTTAAAAGCTTGTGAGGGCCGGGGATTTAGCTCAGTGGTTTTGCTACCTGCTGCGCAAGCACAAGGACCTGAGTTCCATCCCCAGTACCAAAAATAAAAAATAAATAAATAAATAAAAATAAATAAATAAAAGCTTGTGAGATGGAGTCTCTAGTCTTCAGTTCTAGAATTTAAAAGTACTTCTGCCCTGCATGAAGATAAAATACAAGAATGTCATATTAAATTCTGTCTGCACTCTGGCAGTATGTTTCCTCTTATAATGTCACATTTCCTGTTCATCCCTCTACTTGAGGTATATGATTTCCTATTAAGGAGGATAGATACTTTGAAGCCAGCAGGTGGACTCTTACTTTCCTAATCACTACTCTGATTGCATAAATAAATGTCACTTTCCTTGTGCTTGAAGGGCCCTGTTATGGTTTAGATCTTAAATGTTCTCTGAAAGTCTCATGTGTTCAAAGTTGGGCTTTAGTAATGTGATTGGATCATGGAGTTCAACTCAACTTAATGTGCTGTTAGAAAGTGGGGTTCAGTTGGAGGAAGTAGGTCGATGAGGGCATGTCTTTAAAGGGTATATCTCTTACTCTGGCTCTTGGGTTCTCTCTGCTTCAGCCACCATAGATTTTCGTCTGCCGTGACCACCCTCTTCCCATGATGCTTCTGCTTTGAAGCCAGCTGACCATGGACTGAAACCTCTGAAACTGTGAGCCAAAATAAACTTCTCCCCCTTTAAGTTGTGAGTGTCAGGTGTTGTGTCCTAGTGATGGAAAGCTGACTAATAATACAGGCTCACTGCCTAGTATGGGAATCAACAGTTTCAACATAGTGCAACAGAAATTTACTAAGTTAAGTCTATGTGAAAAAAATTGAAGAAAGTGTCACTGCACTTTTTCATGAGAAAGAAGATAGTTGGATTGGCTTTTGAAGGAAAGATATAAATTTACCTGTTTTATAGGGTGGAAGGCAGGGAGAGAAAAATATTACAAACAATGAAACAATGAAGTTTCTAGAATGGGAGTTTTACATAGCAGGTATTCAGTAAATGTTTTGGAAGGAAGGAAGAGAACATGTGCTTTTACAACCAGAGAACAAACTAATTTTGCGATAATGGGTGCTCAGTGGTGAGTCAGGACGTAAGGCTGGTAAGAAGAGGCTGGGTGGTGAAGACCCAAAATCCAAAGCAGAGTTTGGACTTTATCCTCTGTGGGAGCTTTTAGAGATAAGTGAATTCATCAGATTCCTAATGTATAAAGACACTGCATTTCACTGATTCTAAGATATACTTTTAAAATATTTGAACAACTCTGAAAGTAAGATGTACATTACAGACAATGGCATGTCATAGTTTAATTGACAGTTGTTTATTTGCTTTCTTGGTGTATAAAATAATGCTGTTGCTTACAAATGATAGCATCTTCTACATAGTGAAAAATTGAAATTACGGCAGAAGAGTAACAGAGGGACAATGAAGGGGAACAAGGAAACCCATGGGGAGACTTATAAATAGCCTAACTGTGAGAGAATGAGCTGTGGTCCAAAATCAAATATGCTGCAGCAGGGCTTGAAATTCCAGAATAGATTAGGAGCTCCCAAGTTTAATGGGTTAAATCTACCTTCTGGTTTTCCATTTTGTTATTTATCTTGCTTTCCTGCACACTTAGAACCTGAGAAAAAAAATGCTGACCTTTCATTACAATCATGTTTTCTCAAATGATAGCTTAAGTATAAATAGTATTATTTACTATTAGGCATAAAATTTTTGTGAGAGAAGTACAATGCTTTGTACTCCTGAGTAAGACTACCAAGGGCTACTCTATCCAACGTGTCTGCTCCTTGCTGTGAAATTTCTGATAAAAATAAGGAAAATGTATAGCACTAGATGAGGCTTCAGCTATCCCCAGTCCAGCACCTCCCTTTTATAGACAAGAAAAATGAAGTCCCAGAGTGCTGATTACTTTATATTTGCTGATGCTTAGCAGCCTTATATAAGGTGGGTGTTGCTTGGAGTCCTCCTCCATGCTCCTCTATTAACAGCAGGCTACCTGTTTATCTCTGGGTTAGCTCTGTTTCCAGTTCTCTTCCTGAGCAAACAGTGAAAAATGATCTCCATAGCTGCCACAATTTTAGTCATTTTGTTCCTAGTTCCCCTCTATTTAACTGGCTCATTCAGTAGTGGAAGCCTTACTCCTTTTGCCCAGACACCTGGTTTTTCACATGCCAATCTCTGCTGATTAGAAGATGGTGTCTAATATTGGGATTCGTTGCCTGGGTATCTGGTGCCAAAGCTTCTGATGGACATGCCTTGTCTTTCTGTACACCAAATACCCTGAGACACTTCAAGTAGTATCAGAGTTTTTATGGCATAAAACTACTCCACATTACCATTTTTTTCTGTGTATCTGATTTCAGAGTATAGGTGACAGATGAGATAGAGCTCCATTGAATATTTCTTCTTTGTTCAAGTGCCCAACTCTGAGACCCCCATTCAATATTAAAACTCTTTTCTTATCTCCAAAGAAGAATATGCACCAAGAGTGTGTTCAGGACCTCATCCTTTAGTATTGATTGGGCCAACTTTTCTATATATTGGGGATCCCTTCTAGTTGGATTTTCTGTCAGTGATTTATCAGTGTCTATGCAGATTAGTTCTAAAAATTGTAATGTCTCATTTGTTTCCTAGCAACCATTTATTGAGCATATGGAGTGAAGTATATGCTAAGTGCCTTGGACAATTTATCTCTTAATCTCTGTAATCTCATCAGAAGTTATTATCAGACATTTTTATAGAGGAGGAACTGAGGCTCAGACTTGTGTTCATAATTTGGTTTAGATTTTACAATACCATTAACTTAGTATAAAGATAGCCACTTAAATCAATGAAATTGATGAATACTGCCTACCCCATGGAAATATACAAGAGCAAGTAACTCCCCAAAGAATAAACATAAATGAAATATAAACATGTGAAGAAATGTTCAGCCAAATATAAAGACATGAAAAGTGAAACAATGAGAAAACACTTTCCATCTACCAGATTGATACAAATATAAATGATAACCTCCAGGGTTGGCAAAGGCGAACACAGTTAGTACTTCCATGAGTAATTAGTGGTAGTACAGATTGGTACATTTTTTTTTCTGGAAAGCAGTTTGGCAATATATATCAGGTGGACATATCCCTGATCCAGATATCATAATTTTAAGAGTTTATTCTAAGAAAAAAATCTTATTCTAAGCCAATTGTTATTCTAAGAACTGTTTTTCTAATAAGAAGGGATTAAAGACAAGGGCAAAAATACTGTATCTAAAAACCAAGATGTGTTGTTCATGGTTGAAAATTTGAAAATTTATTAAATTTCTACCAATAAGATTTTGATTAAATCTATGGAATGAAAATGTATACTTACTAAAATGATGATCATCTGTATTTATTATATTTAGAAATATGTCTATAATATATTGTTGATTTTTTAAAAACTGCCTACAAAATAATAATTATGGTAGAATTTCAGCTTATCTCAATTTGTTTAATTTGTGTTTATCTTCCTATCTTTCTACAGAAAAAGACCTCATATAAATAAAATTTTGGAAAAGATGTTCACCAGTAAATAAAGAGTTGGGTATTAGGATTTCATGCAATTTTTATTCTCTCCAGTGTATTTTTATATTGATGAATCTTTGTTTTACAAAAAGGAACGAAACCAAATTAATTTACATTTTGAAAAGATTACTATTACCTAGCTAGATCATTCACAATACTTACTGGACATAGATTGCAATAATTGTGGATTATTTTTAAGAAGTGAAATATTGTAAAGATAGTGAACTTGCTATGTTTGAAGACATATTTTTGTTCGAAAACACAGATCTACCTCAAAAGAGAATTTACAAAATTGTTTCATAACACTATGAAAATAAGAGTCTTCCAATGATGAAAGCACTTTAGTGCTCAATATTTTATTTGAGGGTGGAATCTGGACTGTTTGCTAACAAAAGCATCTTACTGATCTTATTGTTGTACCTCATTTGTTTTGTTTATTTACATCAGCTTTCATAAAACATTGGAGAGCTGAGCCTTAAATCCTCTCCCTCAGTGGATGAATAAGCAGTAATTTCTTTAGGTTTGGCATGCATTAGTAAATGAATGCATATTTTTACTTGCTTGACTAGGCTCAGGAATCTGCAAGTCTGCCAACACTGCATTATGTGGATAGTGCCCCGAATAATACCATGTGCCCTGTTGCCAGAGCTGAAGATGCACTTGTGGAATTTATTTTATTCCAATTTATGAGGACTGCTGCACACAAATAGATTATTGTAGTGTCTGTGATTAATGGGACACTGCATGCCTGCATGGACTTCATAAATCATTTGATGCAATGTCTGAGTGAATTTTACTTGCAAAATCAGTTTCAATCAGTTTGGCTTGAAAACTAGGTAGACCAGAAGGAGGTGTCCAGTTGTGGGAAGTGTGGAGGTGGCGCAGCAGCCAGCACTGTGTCCAGTTTTATGTCCCTAGTTATCAGTGCTGTGGAAGGGTGAATGAGCAGCACGTTAATTAAATCTGCAGATGGAATTGGAAATGTCACAAATGCTGAGAAGGCCAGGGAAATGATACAAATTGGCCTGAAGTGATAAGTGGGGGTTGCAATGAAGGCCACAGATACCACAGACCTGACTGTGTATGTGCACACGTAGACACGCATGAATTCTCAACTGATTAAAGAAGTTGGTTAACTTTATAACTCTGTTAAGATCCCAAATATAAAAAAAATCCCAAATATCACATAAAAAGTTTGAAAATAATGAATGTTTAAAAAAAATAACTGCAAATTTTCATTCTTAAACCAATATTTGGCATTTGTTTTATTTTTTAAAATAATGATTTCATTCTTTTTTGATGCATGAGTAATACATATTCATCATAAAAGAACTGGAAGCCATAGGTCAGCAACAATAAAAATATTTTCTATAATTCCACTGTGCAGTGGGATATATAATCATGCATATATAAACAAAAATGAAAAAATGTGCTAATGAACTATTCTTAATCAGTTTTTGCTGATTTTTCTTAGTGAATTTTGATCAAGCAATACAGTTTTAATGAAACCTCTTTGCATCCAGTGATCTATTTTTCTCTCTCACTTCTACCACTCACTGTCATGTTCATGCTGTTGACCTTTTCATTACCAATTACTATATAGCTCCCATGCAAGGAAGGAAGGAAGGAGGGAGGGGGGAGGAGAGAAGGAGGAAGGGGAGGAGGGAAAGAAAAGAAGAAAGAAAGGAAAGAATTAATTTTTTCCACATTCTCCTCATATGTTTATCATAAAAATGTGAGAAAATGCTGCTTATTTATTATTTTATCTATTTTCTTCATCTTTCCCTTCTCTCCTTCCCTCCTTTCTTCCCTCTCCTTCCCCCTTCCTTCCTTCCTCTTCTCTCCCTCTCTCCTTCCCCTTGTCCATTCTACCTTTTCAGATATCTGTTAACTGCTTTGTAGTCAGGCAGTTTCTTGATGCACAAGACTGATAAGGTCTCTGCCTTTCTACAGCTTGTACTGAAATAATTGGAGCACAAATCATCAAGAAAAAATCTTATTGGCAATGAAATAGAATGAAAATGGATGGTGTAATTGTCATTTCGAACAGACCAAATGGCTGCTTAAGAAGGAGTAATTAGAGAGATTTGTGGAAAATGGGAA